ATATGCCTAATGATACTTTCTGATAGTGCTTAGCATCTAGTACAATCTGATATATTACAATTGTTTTATATCATAAAATACGTATCTGCATTTTAATAAATAACCCACCTTCCTACCCTATTTTCGAGGACGTTAAAAATATAAAAAAAGCTTGCCTACCAACCCTATTTTTCAGTATGTAATAGCATTTCAGCATTTAGTTCTAAAGTTTCTGAGCTATGACGTAGAATTTGCAGACATTTTTGATCAATATTTATACTGTGGTTATTTAATTTTGTTTACTAAAGAAGACTGATTTATTTTCTTCAGATTGCTTCCCAGTCCTGGGCTGGGTCAGTGAAAAACATCGCATTCGAGTTTACTGTTGACAAAACTGTAAGGAAAGACCTAAGAGTTTCATTTTATGGGAGAGACTTGAGTGACCCAGGAGAGTCACCAATTGCTCTAAGTAGCTTGAAATTGGTCGACCCAAGTGGGAAAATATTTGATAGAAGTGAAATCGTTAACAATAGGTACTTCACTGTCCTAGGATTTAATGAAAAAAAAGCAGAGGTTAGTGCAACAAACTTTCTTTGCTTGCTTTGATTTTTATAATAACGTAATATAAATTTCCCTATATTACTTGAAAAGGAACAATGAAAAATTAAGGTCAAACAAAGCGTTTTATACATAAGTCGTACATTAAAAACATGTAGCACGGAATACGTTTTTCAATTAATAACTGATGAAGAACATTTATATTCCTAAATACTGTGGATAATCACGTTAATGAAAGAGACATTATACATGTATTGCTGTGTATACCTCTAGGAATCACAACAGAGCGGACGGTGTAATATCGTCGAACAATTAATGACTAGAAAATGAACCCTGTTGGCATACAACAGTGGTCACCAATTACTTTCCACACTAGGTCAATTAAGATGACCATAAAGCCAAGAGCCGATTCTAAACTGGTAGGAAACTACATTGTTCTTCAAATATAATGTCCCTTACTCTTGAGTATTATGATTAAAAACACTATTTTTTGACATATCTGATCACAGTGTGGCACGAATCATGCTTTTGAGGGTCTGATGTGACCCAAGGGCAGACCATTATGAGCCACTGGCATATAAGGTTAATGTTTATTAAACGTATATCTGTGCATTCTAGGGAAAAATTTCCTGATTATTGTCTAAGGTTAAAAATAAGTCCTGGAAATTCTGATTATGTATGATCTATTAAAAAGTTCTGGCCTAAGAAGTTTCGAAAAACTTTTTTGGTATTACAAAATAGTGTGCATAAATATAGACATATAACAGTGTATTGATCATTATAAGGCAAATATACAAAACCCTCTAATTAATATACAAACTAACAATATACTAATCCATATACAAAATAGTATGTATAAATATAGACATATAACAGTGTATTGACCATTATAAGGCAAATAGACAAAACCCTCTAATTAATATACAAACTAACAATATACTAACCCATATACAAAATAGTATGTATAAATATAGACATATAACAGTGTATTGATCATTATAAGGCAAATAGACAAAACCCTCTAACTCTAGCTTGTTCGATGGGTGGACCTTTCTTTATCAGGGGTAAACTGTTCGTGATGAAGAAAGGCTCATGTTTCGAAAGCGATCGGGTTATAGGGTTTCGTATTGTGTTTCTAATAGCTTTTTTTTTTAAATCTATGTGCTTTCCTAGCATCATGAAGTGACCGTTATAAGTGTAAGCTCAAATATATATATACATATTAAAATAAATCGGTGTTGTTTATTTCGTTCGTTGCCATTACATTACTACCATGTTTGTGAAGCTCGTGTTTAAGAAGGTTTTTTGTATTGAATAACAAAGCGGTGTTTTTTCTTTTTGTTTTTTGTTGTTGTTCGTTTCGATTACACAACTGCCATGTTCATGAAGCGCGTATGTTCAGTAGGGTTTTATTATTGAATAACCAAGCTCTACTGAAATTCTGTATATAACGTGGACTTTCTATAATGTACAGGCTGGTCAATGGAAGTTTTCGGTGAATGTTAGAAAAACAACTAGTTATCCATTTCTTCTTTGGGTATCAGCTAAAGAATCAAGTGAAAAAAGAGCAATTACTGCTAATGTTTGGCTTAGTACCGAAGAAGAGGTAAGCTAACTTTATTGAAGGTAAATATTTAAATATTTCTTAAAATAAATAAACATTTATATGTGTGTGCGTGTACTAATAATCAAGTACTGAATTTATATCTTCTAGTATTACACACGCACCATGTTTATGTAACATACTTTGTGCTTTATAACAAAGTTAAAGTGGTCGTAACTCGAAAAATATATCAGTTATTATGTATTTATAACTTTTTCAGGCACATTGTGCTACTGTATATTAAAGGGGAAAAAACAAACACAATGTTTCTGACACAATCAATGACAGAGTTTTTATTAGCTGTTCCAGCCGACTACTTTTGGTAACAAAATTACTATTCAAGGCTTGTGAATGTCGTATAAATTTAGTATAACCTAAACTAACGCTGTATTCACAAAGTCTTTATGATGATAACTGTGTTACCGAAATTAGTCACTTGAAACAAATAATGCCGTTTTTGTTTTTTACTTTTAATATATTATATACTAGCTGGATTACCCGTCCCCTGGATATAAGTTATGTAAATTCATGATTAATGAAAGGTTATCTTAGGACATGAAAAGTTGCTGCCCTTATATGTAATAGTAAAACACGCCCATAAAAACTGCAAAACCCAAAATGTGAAACCGCAAGTCTTGTTTGTATCTCTACATGGAACTTCAATAAACCTCCACACCAAATGTGTTGCAGATCTATCCACCGGAGGTGAGGTAGTGGTAAAAAACGTCCATAAAACCGCAAAAATGCAAAACTGAAAAGTTGTATGTATTCCCGCATGGACTCAATGAACCTCCATACCAATTTTGGTGAAGATCCATCCACACCCTGCATACAATAGACATACTCCTGTATTTATACATATTTATTTATAACAATTGCGTGTTAACGTGGGTTAAAAAAATGTGTCTGGTAGAAAACTAGAAATTTCAAATTCAGGTTAAATGGTTTGATGCAAATGTATAAAGAATTAAAATATGAGTATTCCACAGGCGAAATGAGCAACATGTGTCTGTATTAAAATCTCGGTTATCGGTCTGTAAGCTTGAATACCAAACGCTTGCAAAGCATCGCAATCGAAAACGATTTAAAAATTACTTTTGACTGCAGATTTTTTTCGACAATAATTTTCCCCATAATGGTTTAAAATACAAAACAAGGAAAGTTAATTTCAAATATGTAAAAAAAAAGCATCCTAAAAAATAAAACAAGATCTGCTGTCCAATGTGATTTTAACCACATCGAAAGTATATATTCAAACCAACGTTATTCTCTCTCTTTTTCTTTTGTATTTACAAAAGCTAATAATAACTCAAATTAGTCTGTATTTGCAGCATATGTAATCAAGAAACGCAAATGTTCTAAGATGTTGAGACAAATTTCTAGAAAATAATAAGTTCGAAGATCATTATAAAAAATGCTGGAGGTAGTTAATATACACGTTTATTTTTACTCATTAATTTTTCTAGAAAAACATTGGTGGGCTGCCAATTGTTTATGTTGATGTTAGAAGTGGCGTTTATCCAGTTTCAAACGCAAAGGTGGAAACAAAAGTAGTTGACTCCAGCGGCAATGAGAAGTCGTTTCAATTGTTTGATAACGGTTTAGGTGGTAAGAACATTTTTATGTATTGTGAACAATGATTACAGATCAAAGGTTTTTTAGAGATGAAGATATCAACAGTTATTTGACTTATACCCGCAGGTGTTTTCAATGGCTTGTTTCATGTTATATGCTCTCATGCTCCCTCTATTGGTTATATGTAAAATGTTTATGTTTGGTAAGTTTTATTTTCCATTGAAACTTAATTAATATATATTATAATTATCCTTATTTACAATTATTGTTTAAATATGATTGTATTTCTAATAATATGAAATTTATAATGAATAAAGTAAATCAAAATCGTCATGTCGAAATTTACAAAACATAAATAAGCTGGATCGGGAAGGCTTACCCATCGGACATTGAAAATTATGTTTGGACTATGTTTCGAGACACTAGCAATTATACCATCTTGCTAACCATGTCTATCAAATTAGGCTAGTTGTTAAGTTTCAAACAATTAATTTTATTTAACTTATTATGGAAATTAAATATAAATATTTACTAAAACAATAAGATATAAACATTATAGAATTTTTATTACAAAATTTTTTCACATTGTAAAGAAAGTACAAATCATCATCGTTAGAATCATTATAAAAAAACAAACTTTCGCCACTCTAAATCGTCCATTGTAGGGAAAAACAGAATCTCTTTCAAATTTCTGTTTTTTCAACTGCACTTTTACGTATCCAAATGAAAAAAATGTTGGCGTTATCTACAGTTTTAAACTCTAGGAGTGGTGCGATATTATTTTAATTAAATACTGCTAATTAAAAAACAACAACAAAAACTTAATGTGACAAAAAATCAGTTTTGATTCTTATTATGAAACCATGAATATAAATTATAATCTCTTATTAATAAAAATTAATTGATGATTTAAGTAAAATACACTTTATTTGTATCGCAATTCCTATCCTAGTCAGATGTATGATTACTTAATCAAAAGCTCATGCTATTGTCCGCTTAGTTACTAGTTTGGTCGTTGTTTGGAATATACATTGCTGTAACTCTAAAGTTATGTTATTTGATAACGTTTTCAAAAATTAGAATAAAGCTATCATGAAATTTACTTCTTATAAGTTATTTTATAAAAAACAACAACAACAAAACATTTCTTTCTAATTAGGCCAGTTGTTTAGTTGTGTAATTAGATGAATAAAATATATGTTATTTAACTAATTAGATAATTCTTACATAAAAATATTGCATCTGAGTTTGCTGTCTGATTAGTTATAATTTGGTGTCGATCTTTGTTACGAATGCACTGAAGTTAACCCTACAATTTTGAGTTTGATGACGAAACGATTAATTGCCCAAATTATCAAGCATACTTTGGCAAACCACACATTATAATCTAAATATAGATACATGTATTTAATAAAACCACACATACGAATCAAAATTAAATGTTGATAAATATATTAAAATATTATAACCTCTGATTTTCCAGATCCAGATGTTACCCAGGGAGATGGGATTTATTCCCGTTATTTGACAGCCGTTTCTCGTAAGGGCTGGTATAGTCTTATCATCTACGTAGATGACAACAATGGTGCAGCAAAATTTCTGAAAGGTTTGGATTCAGGTAAGAAAAAACGAACACTTTATTTAACAATGACCTAAGACTAACTTTATGGGACCTTTCCATTCAAAGTAATTATACTACTCAAAAGAAAAAGAAAAATAATTAGTGAAAATTACCTAACAGTTTATAATTAACAAACATAGTATTCCGAAAATTGTTTAATTTCGAAGTCTAAGATCAAGGGAGGTCCAGTTGATCAACGTGCGTTATTGGGTGTTACTAGTTTCGGAATACTAAGTTTATTCATTATATCTGCTACTGTTCTGCTATATAATGTGAAGAACTGAATAGTGGTCAATGACACTTTTTTTTCACTTCACCTATCCAGTATATAGGTTTTTCTCATAGTGAATACAAGCCACATTCACACCAACTGTACGTTTGATATCTAACAGTTTCTTGCAAGAATACGAACCAACAAACCTATTATTTCCTGCAATCGTATTATTGAAAGATCATCGTTGAATAATGTAATTTGATTTGTTTTAAGAATAGAAGTATATACACACGACCGAAATAATAAATACTATTGTGCCATCTGTTGTGCTGAAATACGACAAGATCTCAATGGCAGAAATGGTGATTGAGGCTTATGAAATGTAAAGCCATCTATCGTACGGCACCATAAATAAAAATCCATAAACAAGTTTTATACTTTGGATATTCAAGATTCAGATAATTAGAAAAATAACTATAGTATGTGCAACAACCATTTTTTTCTAACAGAACACAATTTTAAATAAAACTACTCTCCTTACAAATAGAACAGGACTTTAACTAGGACTGTACGAGTGGGTTTGATTTTATTTTTATTGATGCAATTTTTAAATTTAATACTAAAAAACCGGAGTTCTAAAAAAAAACTATTATTATTATTATTTCTATAAAGGGTCGCACTTTTACTATATAGAAACATTACAGTTTATATCAGTAAAACGTATGAAAAGTTTCAGTTCTGTATATTGAATCATTTTAATGCAATTAGTTGCTTAT